TCCGTGGGTGACTTTTGATCCAACACACAAGTCTGAAAAGGATTATGAGAAGGGACGGAACGATTAATGAGGGGGGCCCAAATATCATGGCTACCCCATGGAAATTTGTTCCCCCCTCATTGAACTTGTCAGTCTTTACTACAGGAGCGCCATTTTTCGTGAGAAAGATCTTTAAGTTACAAAATGTTCCGTGGGTGACTTTTGATCCAACACACAAGTCTGAAAGGATTATGAGAAGGGACGGACTGATTAATGAGGGGGGCCCAAATATCACGTCTACCCCGTGGAAATTTGTTCCCCTCTTATTGAACTTGTAAGTCTTTACTACAGGAGCACCATTTTTCGTGAGAAAGATCTTTAAGTTACAATATGTTCCGTGGATGACTTTTCATCCAACACACAAGTCTGAAAAGGATTATGAGAAGGGACGGACTGATTAATGAGGGGGGCCCAAATATCACGTCTACCCCGTGGAAATTTGTTCCCCTCTTATTGAACTTGTAAGTCTTTACTACAGGAGCGCCATTTTTCGTGAGAAAGATCTTTAAGTTACAAAATGTTCCGTGGGTGACTTTTGATCCAACACACAAGTCTGAAAGGATTATGAGAAGGGACGGACTGATTAATGAGGGGGGCCCAAATATCACGTCTACCCCATGGAAATTTGTTCCCCCCTCATTGAACTTGTCAGTCTGTACTACAGGAGCGCCATTTTTGTTGAAAACGATCTTTAAGTTACAATATGTTCGGTGGGTGACTTTTGATCCAACACACAAGTCTGAATAGGATTATGAGAAGGGACGGACCTATTAATGAGGGGGGCCCAAATATCATGGCTACCCCATGGAAACTTTGTTCCCCCTTAATTTAACTTGTAAGTCTGTACTATATGGACGTCATCTTTTAGTTACAAAATGTTCCGTGGGTGACTTTTGATCCAACACACAAGTCTGAAAGGATTATGAGAAGGGACGGACCTATTAATGAGGGGGGCCCAAATATTACGTCTACCCCATGGAAATTTGTTCCCCCCTCATTGAACTTGTAAGTCTTTACTACAGGAGCGCCATTATTCTTGAAAACAATCTTTAAGTTACAATATGTTCCGTGGGTGACTTTTGATCCAATACACAAGTCTGAAAAGTAATATGAGAAGGGACGGACCTATTAATGAGAGGGGCCCAAATATCACGGCTACCCCATGGAAATTTGTTCCCCCCTCATTGAACTTGTAAGTCTTTACGACATGGACGCCATTTTTGTTGAAAAAAATCTTTAAGTTACAATATGTTCCGTGGGTGACTTTTGATCCAACACACAAGTCTGAAAAGGATTATGAGAAGGGACGGACCGATTAATGAGGGGGGCCCAAATATCACGTCTACCCCATGGAAATTTGTTCCCCTCTTATTGAACTTGTAAGTCTTTACTACAGGAGCACCATTTTTCGTGAGAAAGATCTTTAAGTTACAATATGTTCCGTGGATGACTTTTCATCCAACACACAAGTCTGAAAAGGATTATGAGAAGGGACGGACTGATTAATGAGGGGGGCCCAAATATCACGTCTACCCCGTGGAAATTTGTTCCCCCCTCATTGAACTTGTAAGTCTTTACTACAGGAGCACCATTTTTCGTGAGAAAGATCTTTAAGTTACAAAAATTTCCGTGGGTGACTTTTCATCGATCCAACACACAAGTCTGAAAAGGATTATGAGAAGGGACGGACTGATTAATGAGGGGGGCCCAAATATCATGGCTACCCCATGGAAATTTGTTCCCCCCTCCCCATGGAACTTGTAAGTCTTTACGACATGGACGCCATTTTTCGTGAGAAAGAAATGGAAATTTGGAAATTTGAATTTGGAAATTTGAATTTGGTGGGATTGATTTTTTACTCCACCTATGAGTTTGGACCTGAAACCGAGTCTTGTACTATATGACAAAAAAAGTCAGTATGAGTTTTTCCAATCAGTTCAGAAAATGTTATGTAGAAGTCAATAATTTTGAAATGAATAGTCTCTGTTTATTTGCAAAATTTCAAGTTATACTCTCGCTTTTACGAGATATTGACAGCATCCGCCTTCCACTCTTATTCTTCTATGCACCAAACTCCTTGTCCTTAAACGTTTAACGTTAGTATTAAACGTACAGAAGGAATTGTCTTTGTGAAGGATTCCTTACCAGTATCTTACCAGTATCAGTACCCAACACCTCGTTAAGTATTAACATGTCAATCTGTTTTAAACAATACCCACTGAATCAAACACACTACTACACTGCATCAAACACACTACTACACTGCATCAAACACACTACTACACTGTACAGAAGATAGCCCGACACCGAGCTTTGTCCTTGTGGGCCTTCGTAGTTTTTAGGCCACGACCCCGCTTGCCAAATATGGAGGGGGGAACCGATTTCCACGGGGGAACCTATATAATGGAACACCGGCTGGGCCCGTGAAAAGAACTTGAAAATCGACCCCTTCTTCATGGGCCCTTCTTCGTGCTTTACAAATTTCCTGGGTAGCACTGAATGCTGGGAAATCCGAAAACTCTGTTTTTCACCGAATTTTACCGAAAATTGGACGAAAAAGCCAAAATTACTCTGCCGAAGGACTTCGTACCACATCGGGCAACAAGTTTCGCGGGTCTCACCATATTTGGTAAATCAGCTACGTAGGCCTTCGCGTCTTGCCATATTAGGTAAATCATTACGTAATGCCTTCGCGTCTTCACCTGGGGACGAGAGCAGCTTGTTTCCTGGATGTTCAGTAAAGAAAACAATATGGCTGCTATGCGCCCAGCGCGATGCCAACACACAAGAAACTTCGGAGATACGCAGTGCAAACATGATATATCGGTATTGTCCAGGTGCAAAATTGCACATTCAAAATATTTTTAGGTGCAAATCTTGAAAATTACGTGCAATTTGCACATTGCACCTTTGTATTTCGAACCCTGTGATCTGTATATAGATTGATAATATCTTGAATAAACAGTACACGTAAAATAAAGTAACTTCTTCTACATTAGGCCTAAGAAAAAATGTTGTCTTCCTGATTACAGTATTAAACAAGAGCTACCTCCTGCTCAAAAATCACGACCTTAGCATGTTCAGACTCAAGATATCAACACCAGAAGTTTAATTGCAGTACCAGATAAAGCCGCAGGGTTGTGTGTGCAAAATTGAGCCATCTCATTGTGACGTCACCACCTACCCACATAACAACTATCATAACAATCCATCACTTTAGAATCAAGCTATAACAAAGGGAAAACATACTGTACAAAATCTGCCCCTCGATAAGCAGGAAATAGTGTCTCAGGGGGTGAAGAGTTTAAATATTGGGGGGGGGGGATACCAGACCCCCTGCTGTGGTCATCTTTTGGGGGTTCAATACCCGGCTTGCGCCGCAGAAAGTTGTCCTTCTGTACCTGACCCCCTATGCTGTAAAAAAATTCTGGTGAGAACCCTGAATGCCTCTAGTTATAGTCACGGAATTACAGACAGACAAACAGACGTTAAAAACAATACCTTTGGTGATCACTCATGGAGGAAAAATAGGGTCGATAGGAAGGGATTCTTTTTTAGATTTCCCAAAGTGATTCAACAATCAACATTGTTAACTATAGCTGGACTGAGTCAAGAGCAATACATTGTTATTTTCAGCACAACGATATTCTATTTCTACAGAATATAAATTGCAAAAGCATAGGTGTATCAATAAGGCCACACTAATTTAATTTGTTGCTTCTCTGATTAAAAAAAGCTGTCAAGCTGTATTGCGTTGTAAAATAATGTTTGTCGTGTCAAAGAATGGATGTCATTGCTCACTGTATGCTAAATATCCTTTTTTTTATCGATTCATTTGCGGTTGCATGAGCGCCGCGTAATGTTACAGCTACATGCAACGAAGTTTCCAGAAAGTAGATGACGTCAGTGTTATGGGAAATTTCTTTTAGACAAAAAAAAGAAAGAAAATTCAAATAGAGAGGATGGTATGTCAAGTGTTGATCAATGGTGACGGGAAGTTGTTGCAAGTTGTAACGGCACCGTGAGATAGCATAATGATTTTTGTCTTTTTTACCTTGTGTTTACACTAGGAGGTTAACGTTAATATTTAACCTTCTTGGCATGCGAGCCTGTGCTGCTGACAACTCCGTGGTGTGTCCCCTGGGACTTGATACAGGTTGGTGATTGGTTGGGGTGTAGCTGGCCCTGACCTGCACGTCGTGCGCATGACTGATAACCACTTTGGGCGGGAAGTGCGAGTTCGAAGTGCAGAAGGCGGTTAGAATAACCTCAGTGAACACTGCGAACATGTCTCGCCGCGGCTTTAGCGTCCCACCCGAAGACGATAGTCCAAATTCGCGCGATGGAAGAAGTATTGGCAACGGTAGTTCTCCTGTTGGGAGTCCAGAAGGAAATGACAACGGCTCTCATGGTTCTTTCGACTCTCCCTCCCCCAACTTCGACCATGGCGCCCTCCCACCACCGCAGCGGAGCCCAGGGCTGGAAGGGCGAAGAGAGAGGCAGACAAATAATGGTCGGGGCCCAACTCCGGTAAGTGTTGTATTATGTCACTATCGAGAAAATTCAACGTCAAATTATGATCTGCTGTACTGTATTGGGCTGTTAAAAATAGTTGTGGAGTGAGTGCAGGGGGTCGGTGTGGAAGAGGCTGAATTAGAGGGAGGGTAACACGTTAGGGTTTGAGCTAAATTCTGGACTTGGATCCAGGTTAGGTTTTGCATGAGCATCTGGATGAGGAAGTAGGGAGTTTTTTTTAGCAAATCTGGACCAGGAATTCGAACTAGGGAATGTTTTAGCAAAATCTGGGTTAGAAGTAGGGTAGGATCCAAAGTTGATTTCCACCTCATCCACCCCCCACCCCCCCTCCACATGATCTTATTTTTTTTTACAGCCACTTGCATCGTGACCCCCCCCCCCTTTTGATGGGTTGGGCATGTTGCTTGGAAAGGGAAGCATGCCACTCATTCTGACATTAGCATAAATTATGTTAAAGATAAATAATTCTATCTCTGAAATGGGTGTTGATAGCATTGTCAAGATTGAAGAGAGCTTTGGCCTAGGTGAGTGCTGTGTACATCATGAATGTTAGGTGTCTAGGTGGGTCATATTCCTTATAACTGCTTGCCATTCCTAAGACTCTGATTTGACAGTGCTTAAATTTAAGTAATGCAATATCGAATATTGATGTGAATAATTTCATAACATTCATCTAGCAAACAGTTCCGATGCATAGAAGCCAGGCACCGGGCCGAATGCTTCAGAAGATCCTGGACAACCAACATGAAATTCTGAAACGAGTGGCAAAGGTGGAACGGCAGTTAGATCATCTCCAGTCAGTCCAGAATTCAAAGCAACGCCAAGCTGGGAAACAAAACAAGCCAACAGTGCCCAATGATGTCCGGGTATGTGTTTGATATTTTCAAAATTTGTTTGTGTACGGTTGTATTCAACATACAAGGGAATTGCTGCAAATACATTTAAAAGTATGATGCCATGGTAATATAATGGTAATTTTACGATAAGGAGAAATTTAGTTTCACTGCACACAGTACAGGTGTGTAGAATCTGTACTGTCACTTTGACATGCATAGTACTTGTACTATTATGGTAGTAAGTGATAAGTGATAAGATCATTCTGATGTAAAAAATGTGCATGTTTTATTTGAGGCCACACCAATTTAATTTGTTGGTTCTCGGATTCGCCTCTTCGTTTTTTTTCTGATTTGCAAAAAAAAGAAAAAAATTGATTCTGGTCCTCAATCAACAGTTGAGGAAAGTCCTTTTCTTCCTAGTTGTTACAATTTTCCCATCTATCATTGCAGTGGTTTGATTAAAAGTTCAAAATTCAATGTTTAAATTTTAACCCAGCCTTTTGTGTTGACTTCATGGCTCATTCCATAGCATTTAAGCCTATAATAGGATGCCTAGACCTGTTTTTATTTTTTTTTGCCCTGTCGCTTCATATTTTTTCTGAAAAATCCGAGAACCAACAAATTAAATTGGTGTGGCCTGAGTTGTAAAACGATGGAATTTGAGTTTGAACTAGAAATGTCATTCAGACAATTACAACAGGCCCTCAGAAGAATGTCACCCATAAGTCAAAAATGTGTATGGTCAATGGTGAGAAACTCACACACAGTGCTTGTGGCAAGTTGTGACAAGTTGGAATGCCAGTGACAACAAAGTGGAACATTTGCTGATATCAGGAACGTCTAAAATAATTGAATAATGCTTTGTATGGTAGAATAGAATGTTTATCATTCTACTATAGATTAGTATATTCTTCGAAGTTCAACGAAGGCTTTTCTTCCAAGTCATTGAACATAAAACCTAAAAAAATTATACTTGCAGTTCATGCCTCAATATAATGACAGTGAATTCCTTTTATATTACCAAGGAGGTTCTAGCAGACTTTAACCTCCTTGATATTACCTAGCTATCCATTCTGCAGTCCACATCTTTGTACTTTTTTTGCAGAACATGGTTAAAGAAGGATACGACCATTGTGTTAACACCGATGGTAGAGAAAAGTGGAATTTGGCCAAAGGAATGAAGTAAGTAAGCATTGGCATGTTAATAACGCAAATAGTTTGATAGTGTTGTATGCTTTTATCTTTTCATGTGTAAGAATATGCAAAAATGTTTCTTGGTCATCAATGCTCTAATCACATTTTTTGGGTTACTTTGCAATTGCACTTGTGCTTATGGCATAAGAATTACTTGCACAAAAGCATTTTTACTTGCACAACTAATACTAATAGTAACAAAGAAGTCATATCATTTAAACTTGTAATATGAGGGTCAGTATTCAAAGTATATACTTGCCCGGGTTGCCCCTGTACAAGTACAGTGCAGCTCCAATTTCACCTGCTCAAAGTGGTTGCCGCTAGGGTCGGCAGTTTTTTCTAGGGTCGGTCGGGAAACAGGAAACACAACATTTTTTTTCCTAGGCCTGATCAGGGTTGTTTGTCTTACTCTTAGCATTATATGGCTATACGGGACTGTGTATCTTTGCTGTGCAAGGTATTTAGACATGATTTTTGAGTGACTACGCAGTGTGCACTGCCGCGCTGTACATTGTCACAATTTGTCAGCCATTTAGTATAGCAAAAATGGATGGTACGGCAAGAATTACCGGGTACAGCAAAAATTTGTAGCAGGTACAGCAATTCGCATCTAATTCATGGCTCAAAATACTTTTTCTACACACCTGTACAGGTTCACGTTAACATTCAAAATTAGTCCATCGTTATGAGAAATATAAATTATAATGCGGAAAGATTTTATTAAGTTTGTATCATACTATTCATTAGCACTTGTCTGCATGTTTTTAAGTGTACAAAACTAAACTAAACTATGTCACAGTGACACTAAAATAGAAATGCCTGGTGTTTCCTGACGAGTGGATTTGTTGACAAAACCCCTAAGATTCTTGCATTTTTTTCTCTTGCTCAGATGCTTGGGAGCTACCTGAGAGAACCAAAAATCTGATGTTATTGCTTATCCCTTGAAATAAAGATTGACCGTTTCAATAGATGATGCCATTATACATGTAACAGTTAAACAATGAAAACTTTTGCAGGGCCACCTCAGCCCCAAATGATGAGACAACCAAGGCTGTCCTGGGATATGTTCAGGGACTCCTGCCTGGCTATGCAGACAAAATGGACATCGTCAAAGGTGCAATGACACTTTAAGATTATATAGCTAGTTTTCTACAGATTAACACTGTGTTTTCATGTGACCATCCTATATCTTTGACCCTGAAAGTTGCTAAGTTAGTAAGTATATTCTGATTTGTACAGTGTTAGTAAGTGTAAACACAGTCATGTATATGTATGATTGCATCACATGCGATACATTGTATGATGAACACATAAGTCCATCAGGCAGACAGGTTCAAGTTCAACCCTTTTCGGAACTTCACTGGAAAAAAAATGGTCAATAGTGAAAAGAAAACAATAGTGGTAATAATGTCATACCCTGTTGAACAACAATCCACAAAGTTCATCCGTTCTTTTGCCATATGGTGTTCTTGAATGTGATTGCCTACAGCATCATGCATTTAGCATTAGCAGCATTGGAGCCAAGAAAGACATGTACGGTGTAGTGAATTGCAGGTATTTAGTCCAAGCACTGAAGAAAGCCTAAATGTTGCTGGAACAGTTTGCACTTCTGAAAATGCATTGGCTTCTGATGTATAGTGTGCATGTACCTGTTTTTGTTGCTATAACACTGTACAATTGGAGTCAGAAGCTTTGGCAAGGTAGCAAAATGGTTGTCATGTTTTGTCTCCCTGCTCAATCTATAATTGAAAGTACTTTAAGACAAAGGAACTGGCTTAATTACTTGAAAAATGTAAATTTTAGCTGATCAATTAGACAACAACTAGTTCCCTGAAAAAAATTTCAAATTAAATTTTGTTGAAACCTTTAGAAAGCCCCAAATCATCATTTTTCTATTTGTGCAACACAGCTGCTGTCGACACTTACTTCGATAGTAAGAGGCGGGGCGAGATGAGGGAACAAACGGGCAAGACCAACAAGCACCGTAAGCAGTGTGTCCGGAACACAAGGATAGCTACGGTATGTGCCTTATTGAATTTTGGCAATTGCATTTTTTTGTATGGACACTGGCAGTGCATGTAAAATCTATCTAAATAGAAGAAGGAAGAGATAAAAGTGGAAACCTGTACCATTGGTACCAAAGGCCAACAATAACAGTGAGTGTCACTGATGAAAATACGAAAAGAAGTTTAAAATTGCGGGGGGAGGAAGGTGGATCGTTGAAGTTGCTTAGGCAGGAAATTTTTTTTTCAAAATGGAAAAATAGGAGTAGCGATTCCGAGAAGCAACAAATTAAAATTGTGTGGCTTAATCAGAGTATAATGTCGAGGATTTGTGATGTATTAAATGATCTATGATTATTTTTGCCAACAGAAACTGGACCATCGCCTGAAAGCCTTAAAGGCGAAGAAGTCATACAATACACTGTTGAAAAATTTGCTGAGACACTAAACTGGATAGTTTAGTGTCTCAGCAAATTTTTCAACAGTTAATCATGTAAAGCATTTGTATTGCTCATCATTTGAAAATTATCGGTTCCCCAATGTTCTTTCTTGTAAGTTGAGAATCAGTAAATTTTATTATTAGAACCATATTGGTCAGCTTTTATTATTAAATTCAGATTTCGTTAATCAACTGGGTATAAGGTACTTTATAAGCATCGATGAATGTGGGTATAATATGACTGCATAGGTCCCAGACTCCCAGGGTAACTAATTATGGGGGATGTAGGTACCTTGTAGTACATCTGGGTAAATGCCGCTAAGTATGAGATATGACGTGAGTGATATATCCCGGTAAATGAAAATGTATCTTTATATACAGTAGCTATGACTTGTACCGCGGCTGGTATATCTTGGTAAATGCATATTTACACACGCGTTAAATGTGGGTAAATGACCTACTACTGTGGCTTATACCGCAAATGGTAAATCCCGGTAAATGCATATTTACACACGCGTTAAAGGTGGGTAAATGCCCATAACAGTGACTTATACGGCGGATGGTAAATCCCGGTAAATGCATCTTTACAGGACCTGGGTAAATGGGGGTAAATTTAGGCAACCATTACCGGACTTACCATGTCTGGTAAGTACCGGGTAAATCTGCAAATTTACCAACAGGTAAATGATCGGTAAATAGCCGGTAAATGTAACCTTTACCACGCTTTACACCACATTTACCGTTACGGTAAATACGGCTTTTCATGCAGTGAAAAGAGATTTTTACAAATCAGCAATTTAACGTAAACAAGTAACATTGATAGACGATAATTTCTTTTTTTTGACGGCATTTACAATGCAATACCATTTGTTACTTTTCAAATGTTTTACGCGTTGTCTAAAACAGGCCAAAATAGCGTCTTGTAACCCGATACTTTTTCGAACGCCCCAGCAATGGGAAAGAATACCGTAGCGACACACCGCCTTGATACTGAGTGTATATTTTGTGCAGAACTTGATAACCTTTATAAGTCTTCTGAGGGAAGCAGGGGATGAAGTAGACCTGTGATTGTG